TTCGCCGCATTCGTGCTTTTAAAAAATATGTATAAAGATGTTTGAGGTGTTTTATGAAATGACGCAACACGGGTGCTTGTTGTGCGATTGGTCGAGCTGCGTGCTGCTACTCTCAGGCCGTATAATGTTGCTGCAAGTGCCTCAGTGCCTCCAGGGAGAAAAACATGTGAGGGGGAGGCAAAATAGTCCAAGACAAGATCATTGTGTCGGCCGGGAATTGTGTAGATTTGCGTTTTCAGCGAAAAAACGATAAGAAGAACAAAACGATAACCTACCAACCATGGTGTTTTCAGCGAAAAACGATAAGAAGACAAAACGATAACCTACCAACCATGGTGTTTTCAGCGAAAAAAAGATAAGAAGAACAAAACGATAACCTACCAACCATGGTGTTTTCAGCGAAAAAAACGATAAGAAGACAAAACGATAACCTACCAACCATGGTGTTTTCAGCGAAAAAACGATAAGAAGACAAAACGATAACCTACCAACCATGGTGTTTTCAGCGAAAAAAAGATAAGAAGAACAAAACGATAACCTACCAACCATGGTGTTTTCAGCGAAAAAAACGACAAGAAGAAAAAACGATAACCTACCAACCATGGTGTTTTCAGCGAAAAAAACGATAAGAAGACAAAACGATAACCTACCAACCAAAAAAGATAAGAAGAACAAAACGATAACCTACCAACCATGGTGTTTTCAGCGAAAAAACGATATGAAGACAAAACGATAACCTACCAACCATGGTGTTTTCAGCGGAAAAAACGATAAGAAGACAAAACGATAACCTACCAACCATGGTGTTTTCAGCGAAAAAAAGATAAGAATAACAAAACGATAACCTTCCAACCATGGTGTTTTCAGCGAAAAGCACGATAAGAAGAACAAAACGATAACCTACCAACCATGGAGTTTTCAGCGAAAAAAGATAAGAAGAACAAAACGATAACCCACCAACCATGGTGTTTTCAGCGAAAAAACGATAAGAAGAAAAAACGATAACCTACCAACCATGGTGTTTTCAGCGAAAAAACGATAAGAAGACAAAACGATAACCTACCAACCATGGTGTTTTCAAAACGATAACCTACCAACCATGGTGTTTTCAGCGAAAAACGATAAGAAGACAAAGCGATAACCTACCAACCATGGTGTTTTCAGCGAAAAAAAGATAAGAAGAACAAAACGATAACCTACCAACCATGGTGTTTTCAGCGAAAAAAACGATAAGAAGACAAAACGATAACCTACCAACCATGGTGTTTTCAGCGAAAAAAACGATAAGAAGACAAAACGATAACCTACCAACCATGGTGTTTTCAGCGAAAAAAAGATAAGAAGAACAAAACGATAACCTACCAACCATGGTGTTTTCAGCGAAAAAAACGACAAGAAGAAAAAACGATAACCTACCAACCATGGTGTTTTCAGCGAAAAAAACGATAAGAAGACAAAACGATAACCTACCAACCAAAAAAGATAAGAAGAACAAAACGATAACCTACCAACCATGGTGTTTTCAGCGAAAAAACGATATGAAGACAAAACGATAACCTACCAACCATGGTGTTTTCAGCGAAAAAAACATAAGAAGAACAAAACGATAACCTACCAACCATGGTGTTTTCAGCGAAAAAACGACAAGAAGACAAAACGATAACCTACCAACCATGGTGTTTTCATTGAAAAAAGATAAGAATAACAAAACGATAACGCTTACGAATTTCCAGAATTCGTCCATTACATTTTGCCGCTTGCTTACGTGCGCGCAAAGTCTTTCCGCTTGAAACTGATAGGCGTCGCAGTTTGTGTGACCTCCTGCCACTTCTGAGACCACCAATTTCCTAGTCGGCTTCTTGTTTGCGCATCGCGCTTCAGCAGCACGCCCAGTCAAAGCTGTCCTAGCAAGATGTCGCGACTTGACTTATGCTGGGCATTGCGCTGAGCATGATGCGATAAACATTCCAATGTGTGGAGGCCACCAACATTGAGAGTTTGGAGTCAATTTCTTTTGCTTTAGCAGAAGCACAGCAGCCATCTCTCAAATATTTTCCGTTGTTCCTTGAACGTGTTCACCCGTAAAAGGACCCTCCCCCGTCGTTCCTCGTAATCTTTAGTAGGACGTTGTCTTGCTGTGACAGCCGCTTGACTGCTTCGGACCGAACACCAGGCAACTGTGTTTTCAGTTGTTTCGCCGCATTCGTGCTTTTAAAAAATGGTATATGTATAAAGATGTTTGAGGTGTTTTATGAAATAACGCCACACGGGTGCTTGTTGTGCGATTGGTCGAGCTGCGTGCTGCTACTCTCAGGCCGTATGATGTTGCTGCAAGTGCATGTAGCAGCACAGCCTGTGGAACATCCAGGGCTTTGTAAATCACACGGGTGCACCAAGCAAGGGTTTGCGCGCGATTTGAATCTGTGTGACATCATGGAAGCTACGCAAAGCCTGGCGTCCGCAACTCTGGCCGTGTACATATCAGCCCTTGTAAATTACTCCGAAGTAGAACTCGTGTTCAGCGTTAACGGTGCTGCATTAAAAAACCTACTTTCGCATGGTGCGGCCTTTGACGATGAAATGCAGGATGCCAAACGCATGTTTGCTATGGTCACATTGAAGCACACAGCTGCCTTATCTTGGCAGTATGACATTGACACACACACACACGCCAGCTCGAAGCAACCCTAAGGCTTGCGCAAGCCTTCTGCAATCGCGCAGAAACCTCTGTGGTGTCACCATAGTCTGTTGTGGCTGTTCACGCAAACAAAAACGTGGCCGCCCATCACCGAATTGTTGGATAAACATGGATGATAACACCTGTAGAAAACAATGGCAACTAAATATGATGTGTGTGGCACAGTGAGTGTGCATATCCTCCGCTGTATTGTTACGAGCCCTGGAACAAGACCAGTAGAAAACCTCGAGCCCGACTTGTTTTTGCTAAGGACTGAGACCCCGCAAGATGCCACAAGGCAAGAACACTGTCCATGATGCCTGAAGGGTGTACAGGGACATATTGGAGCGAAAACCCCGGCTTCGCTCTTGCGAAGCACCTTTTCCAACAGCAACAACACTCTATTCGCGCAGGAGCGCGTAACCAGGAAAGAACTGCGTCAAATCGCTCTTTGATGCTTGATTCCTGCCCATTCCAGATGACCGATCGCAGGTTCCAAACGTGGTTTGTTCGAAAGACCGAAGTTTAAAAATGAAAGTGTCGCACTTTGGTACTTGAACAAGCGTAAGCACAGCGCCACGAAACTGATTGCGATAGGATTCACCCCTTGTGTTTCGCATGTTGCGCGGCATTACGCGGAACATTTGTTGCCCGTCGCTTTGTTTTGGTGCCGAACACGGTGCTTGGGGAGAGCGAAATTGGTGTTCGCTCCAGGATGTTCCTGAATATCACGCAGCCAACACAGCGTTGTCGGCAATTCGCTGGCTACGTCGCATGGAGCAACGTCACGGCAGTGCGGGCCGAATAAAGCCTTCCAATGATACAGCAGCAAACGTGAAATTGTTTCTGTGTGGCCCGCAGCAGAGTTTGCAGTCACGGGGCATGGGCGCGCCAAATTTGTGGTTCCTAGCGCAGCGCAGTAAGCATTTAGGTTGCAACTGCTTTTCAAGGCGGTTTGCATAGCGTTGGGCAGTGTTGGTCCAGAATGGGAAAGCACGCGTGATTCTGACTCAAAGCGAGCGGCGCGCAAACCTATATTAGCTCCCCTCAACAACGAATGGCCGGTGATTGCCTGCCGTTGTATCCACACGCGTGATCATTTGTGTGTGTGTGTGCCACTGTGCAAGCCGCACACATGATAACGTGTTGGAATAGTCCACTATGCTAGATTTTATATTCGATGATATGGCGCCGGTGTACGCATGATGTTGTAAGCCACGCAGCAAGGTAGGATTCAGGCATCAAGTTTTAGCCATGACCATCAGAACATTCGGCGACGTGCGTATGCTCAGCACTTGACCAAAAAGGAACCACATTCCCCCTCTAGGGAGATGGTGCTCGAATTCCAGTTCATGGGATCTGCAACCCCCTTTACCTTTGCGACTGAGTACGCGGGAGAGGCCAGAACTTCATGTCCATAGTTCAAGCGCCTGTGCAGCCCATATGCGCACAAGTGATGACCCGGATCTGAAGTGAAGTGAAAGAATGCTTATTTCTGACAGGCAAGATGGCTGCAGGCGCATGTGTGCTGGTTAGAAGCACCTCCACGTTTGCCCAACCCACGAGGGCCTCCACGAAGCCTTCTTTTGGTGCTGCAGCTCAGCGGCGCCCGAGACGGAGCCAGAAGAGATTCGAGCTTGAGGCGGGCCAAGCAGATGCGAGAGATTCTGAGTTACTTCCAGGCATGGTATTGCAATGGTAGAATTGAGGATGCAGCCAAGGCGCCAACAACAGAAGGGTTAAACATAACGAAATGCTCGCCGCACGGGGCTTCGAAGCAATCCCAAAGCGTTGAGGTTCACAGGCTCACGCCTCCCATAATCTTTCCATTACATCACTACATGCCAAAAACTGATGCCACGCAGCGAGGGACGAGAAGATGTGTTGCGTTCCTGCTTGAGGTTCATGGAAAGGGCTTTAGCCCACCTGTCTCTTGCGCTAAGCCTTCTTCCAGCAGCAGCTTGATTGTCCGCGGTCCCTTGCAGCCAGAAGACCAGACTGTCATAGTATCTTGTACTATTGTACACTAATTTAATGTACACTATGTGCTTTCAGCGCCTTGCTGAGGGAGCTTACACGGCGATCGCCTTGAAAGGCATTTGCTGAAGCTCGATGGCCGCTCTGGAGCGCATTGACTGAAGACTTGCAGGCAAAATGCGGAACGCAGTCTGCAGATGCCGTGCTCCTTGAGTTAGTTCAAATTATGCTGACGTCTTTAGGAGATTGGTGAAGCCTCCGGGAGTTCCTTGGACTTGTGAGCAGACGCCCGGCTGACTCTTGCCCTTTGAAACTTTTGCGACTCGGTCCAGTTTCGTAGGCTAAGGATGAATTTGGGTTCAAAGGATGGCGCATGAGCAATGAGCCGCTGCCCAGCCAGCGCAAGCAAGCCGCGAAAGCTTCATTGACCTTCTCCTTGCTGACGACAGCTGCGGGCGGCCTTAAGCGAGGGGGGTCTGAGCACTGATTGAATGATTTTCTTGGGCGTCGCACGAGTTTCAAGGTTTCGACATTTGCCTGGTGTTGGGGAGAGCGGTGTGCAAGATTCCCACGACTCTTCGGAAAGGAGGCAGGGGTCATGGCGGACTCCAGTCGCGAGGCTTCGTAGATGTCAGGTAGCACTTCGCTCAAACATCTCTCGTGTCAACTGAAAGGCGTGTCTCGGATTCTTGAAGCGGGTTGCCACAGAAGGGGGGCAGCGCGAAGCCCAGTTTGACATTCAACCCTCCAAGAGAGCGCAGACATTTGCAATCTAGCCGTCCAATCAGGCCCCGCAATGTCACAATCAGGATGGGACAGTCAAGGAAGTTGCGCCGTGCAACCCCTCTGTTGGGGACGCTCTGTGGCAGCAGGGAATGAGACTGACTGAAGACATGAGTTGTTGCTTTTGGAGTGCCTTTTCAAGACAGTTTTCATGCTTTCGCAAACGTCCGGAGTGAGTTCCTAGCACCAAAGGAGCCATCAGACCAACGCGGCGCGAATAGGCGTCGACAAGACTGCCCTTGGGTCCTACTCAGGATCCTCATCGATTACGCCCATGCTTCCTAGGGCAGAAGTTCAAGAAATGTGTCGTGCGACAATGTGTCGTAGAGCATCAGCGCATGGGACATGGTCGAAGAGTCCTTGCGGTCCTTGGGCCCGCGTCCTCCGCCTCGCACGTGCTTAGACGCTTCACCATAACATTCTGAGCGTCTAGTTTGAGGACCAAAGGTTGTGAAGGGGGGAGCGTTTGCCGCGTGGCGACTTCTGAGGGGAAAAGTTGCGCGAGCAGCGTGGCGCTAGTCATGGAGGAAGGGTCGCCTGTCATCTTGTTTTGTTCCAGCGCCGCTTGGTTCCCACTGTTCCTGGGCTGGCAACTCAGACCTGAAGTGCGCCGCGGAAAGTTTGATCTTGGGCAGGCGGCAGGAATGTCAGGCAGAGAGCTTCGAGATGCTGAGCAAAGCCCACGGCAGAAAGCTCCTGGGGCGGACGCGCGAAGGCGCGTGTTGACTTCGGTTCAAATCCTCTGCGCGCTCACGTAGCTAACGCACCTAAGGCTAGTGGCGGGCGCCTTGCCTCCTTTGATTTGCTGCCGTAGTGAGCGCGCGCACTTGGCTGTGAATTCATTGCCCCTGCCTAGGCCTCGCAGGCGCTCGTGCGGAAGAACCTCTCTGAAGCGGCAAGTAGTTCCTGGCCGGCAGGTCAGGTCACAGAGGAAATCCGGTTCTTCATCAAAGCTTCATGTGTGTTTACTTGCTAAGCAATTTCAATTCGGCAAAGACCAACTTCCGATTCCCGAAGGCCCGAAGACAGTCGTGTGAAGCGGATGTTCTGGGCTTCCGAAGAAACACCCTGTCCTCCCCTTGCTTGCGGACATGAATTGTGAATTGGACAATTTGAATGAAACCATCAGACATCACAGGAATGACATGATGACATGAGTTCCGATTCATCGTTAGTTGAGTTGAACATGGTTACATGACTGAGTGTTTGCCTTGCATAGTCACTTACCCTGACTTGGCTCAATCAGGTTTGCGGATTGCTGTGTCACTTCTGACTGCTTGCGCGAGTGTTCCCAAGTCGCAGACAGAGAACGCTACGCGCCCGAGCTCTCGAACTCAGCAGTCTGTCACCTTTGCGACATCCGCGGCTGTGTCGGACGACTGCTGCGCCACAACAGGCATCCTGACACAGCCGTGTGTGACAAGCAGAAGGGAGACAACGACTCACTGGTGAGGGGCTACTCCAGTCAGGCAAGGCGCCTCAGCTTGAACTAAACCCTCGAACTGAACCCTCGTGATGTGATGTTATGCAGCGTGAAGTGATGTGATGCGATGTGATGTGATGTAGTTCGCCGCGATGAGGTGATGCGATGTGCCGTGCCGCGGTGTGATGTGCCGCGATGTGAGGGCGCACAACGTGACAGGCTGTGATGCGATGTGATGCGCCGTGCCGTGATTTGCCGCCAGATGTACACCATCAGAGGCGAATGTGAACCTGAATCGCACGAGCCGTTCATGAACATTTTGTTGGTGACATGCTTGAAACGGCCGGCTGACGACACCTGGTAGTCGGCGATGGTGATCATGTTGTCGACCTCGAAATTGTCGTACTGTTGTTGTGTCATCGTATCCATCTCGGTCTTGCGAAAGGTCTGCTGAAGGTCTGTCTTACCCCATCCAAATGTGAATGTCACCATGCAATCTGGAAACTTTCGATCCCATATTGATCCTCCCTTCTTGTAGAGAACGTGGCGGACGATGGACTGGATGGTGGCTGTTGTATCCATGGCGCAATCGAGACGACTTGTTTCATGCAGTCCCTCTGTGTCACTCCAGATTCTTTGGTGTGTCTTGATGATGAAATGGAGTAGACCGTTGTCAGGACGATAGAATGGTTGGTACTTGCTGTAGCTGTTCGCGGCCTTGTTGCCGTCCCCGGTGATTGCATCGCACATATACTCAGTGACGAGCGGCGTGACGGACTCTTGGAAATCTTCCTTCACTGCTCCATAGCTGATGTTTGGATGGATGTGGAAACTCCAATAGTCGCATATGGCAATCCGGCTCTTCACGGTCGTAATGCTCATTGGGATACTCCTTGGCCTTTGGATACGCACCTCTGAATTCATCCGTCTTCTCGGTCTGGATGGTGATGATTTCCCTGTTCTTGCCGTACCCCTTAATGATGGATCGTGGCGGCAATCTCTTGTTGAGGTGATTCTTCTTGTAATCATCCGTGAACATGATAAGTCCTGTGGTTGCCAGACAGTCGGATGTAGGAGTATCGTATGCGGGATCAGTGCTGGCACCCTTGGTGCCAAAGAAGCATCTGAAAACTCCGAGTGTAGTTCCCCAATTTTTGGTCTTGTCGGAAATGTATCTTGCCAAGAGTTCGACTCTGGCATGCTTGTTGCCACGAACGAAACAGGCGATAGGTCTCGCGTGCCAGGATTTGATGACAATGCCCTTGTAGCCATGTCGGATGAACAATTGCACGAGATGCTGTGTTTTCCCTTCGGTGTCTGAGAAAAATGCATCGGCTTCATTGAGACACAGGATGTGTGCGCCGTTGTTCATCAGCATCCTCGTGATGGGCCGATCCTTGATGGATGCATGGGGCATTTCCTTGTCATTCAACTTCGGATTCTTGGTATAATCACCATGATTCATCATGAGCAGATTGAGTGTTAGGGATGATGCTAATTCTCAGTGATGATGGGCTGTTTGGTCGACTGCGTCAGCGTTCCCAGGATGTCGGTGTACGCATTGATCTTCTTGGGGTCTGAAGTTCGGAGTGCTTTGATTCCAACCGGAAGTCGGCTCGGATAACCTGACTCCGTCTGAGGCTTCCTGAACTCTGCAATGGTCGGCAAACTTCCCTCTTCATGGTAGTAGAAATCCTCTTCATGGAAGTTGTAACCCGGGTCGATGATGTACTATACGCAAGTGTATCAATCTCACATGCATTCAAATCACCTCTCAGCGATTGAGGATCATCTTGGTACTTAACGAGGAGATCATTGAACTCTTTCTTGATGAGTGCGGGTTGTTTCTTGGCTCCTTCTCGGTCCATGTCCCGGTTGATGTATTCCTCTCTGAATTCGGTGTTGAATTGCTCGATGTTGTTCGGATGGTGAAATTCCATGGTGACCTTGGGCTTTACGGATCTCTCCCTGTCTTCCACAGGGTTCTGGTTCTTCTTCGTCAGGATCCGTTGAGTGCCTTCGCTTCTTGGTCTCCGTGGATTTCTCAGGTTTGTTGGCATTCGCATTGACATGATCATAGAAGTGCTGAGCGAACTCCTTGATCTTTGTCTCATACTGCTCTGCATCTTCTGCCTCAAGGTGCTTGGACATGATCCAGAAATTCTGCTGTTGATTGTGTCCTTCTGCGTTGTACGCGGCGATGATGCACTGCGGATAGATATGTTGATCTGTCAATGCTGTCCGTTAGCTTTGGTGAATCAAGAATGGCCATAGCATTTCGTCCGCCAGGCACATGTTGCAATGCTGAATCGGAAGGTTCGTCGTCAAGGATGACATCGTCAATGCATGCCATATGGATTTGGCACCTTCCTCTGGGAGTGAGTTCCTTCCCTGGCTTGAGTCCAAACTCCAGAATCTTGAATAGCTCGTCGTCGTGCGTCGCATGCATCATGAAGGTCACGGGCTTCTTGCTGAATGGGTTGACCTTGCGATCCTGTTCAACTGATGGTGGAGCTGGACGACGAAGTCTGGATTTCAGTCGTGCCCTTGCTGGATCGAGAATGCTCCTTGCTCTTATGGCTGGATGGAAGGTCATACTCTGGCTCTTCCCATTGCTGATAACATGGGGCGACCAAGGGCCTCAATGTCAACGTATCTTGTGTGTCCGCCTTGGCATCTGACATGCAACTCCATCTCTTTGTCGTTGTAGAAACTCTCTCCATCTGGATTGAGCGCTTCGGATACAGATCTGTGGTTGAGATCGTCGATCCATCGATGCTTGGGAACAATGTTCCTCTCGCTGTAGGATCCATCGACGCTCGGAAACACAACGCAATCTCGAATCTGGATTTGCCGTATTTCGGAAACATTTGAGGAATTTGCCTGGCTTGTTGCCCAAGAAGTTCATGGAATGGTCAACGGCGTGCGTGGCTCCCCAGAGCTCGCATGATCCGTCTTCGTTGACCGGTGCATCCTTCTTCTTCTCATTTCGTCCTCTGCGGTCATGTCGACGGGCTGCTGAGAATAGTCTGCTTAATCTCTCGATTCTCCAGAGGATGAGATGGACAATTGGCTTGGCCTTGCTTTCCTCGATGCAAAGATACCTGCAGATTTGTTTCGCACTGGTGATGCATCTGTCTACGTCAGTCTGCTTGTTGTGGCAAACCGTAGGAAAGATGTCGATGCCGCAATCGGATGGTTGATCACTGATGAGCAGCACATACTGTAGATCCTTTTGAAGTAGGTCATGTGTGTGTGTCTTCCCTGTACTGTCCCTGTCCCCGTAGGGTAGGTTGCCAGAAACCATTGAATCAAGCAGTCAGCCAATAAGGCTTGGAGCTCGGCTCTCGCAAGTGCTCAGGAACGTAGTGGAAATCTGGATCCTCTTGTACTGCATTCATGGTAAAACTCCTTCACATAGTCGATGCCGCCCGTGCCTGGTATAGTTGAGTCAATCCATCGTGTCTGCTCACTGGATGAGGATGTAGACCGCATGTCGGGTCGTCTCGGCAGAGGTGGCCGTGCATTGTCCTCGGAAGGATCATTGTCGGATTCTGTCTCTTCCTCAATCGTGTGCTTTGGAATGGGCTTACTCGTGCAGATTTCGTGGCAGGCGCAGCGCAAACAAGCCGGATTGCTGCCTCTTTGCACACGTGACCTCCGCTGTCCATGGTTTTGTTTTGCTAGATATGTGGGGTTATCCGGCCCTTTAATTATTTTGTGGTTTCTCGAGGTGTTTTGTTGTTTTGTTTTTCTCGAGTTTGTTTTGTGTTTGTTGTTTGTGGGTGTGGTTCCCTCATGAGCAGATGCCTACTGCATGAAGGTGGCCATCCTTCAGGTTTACCCTATCCTGGTGCCTTTTGTGGTGGAACTGGACCTCTGTCGGGGCGGACACAACATCCTGGAGGATTGGGTCGTCGCTCTCCGACGATCCTGAAAACCCCAACTTGCAGACCCGGTCGAGCCTGCGGCACCGTCCAAAGACCGGGGGTAGTCCGCGGTAGACGAGGAGTGGACTTCTGGGGCGTCCACCTGTCGAACCGCGACCGCGACTCACTGCTTCTACTCTGTCCGCTCCTCTTGTACCACACAGGTTTCCGCCCCCCGGCGATAGAACCCCGGACGCGGCGGGACACGCAGCGCAAAAACTTCTTAGGCGCTCAGCCGCACGGAGCTCCACACCTTTGACCAATGCATGTTGGGCCATCCGCCCACCAAGCCGACGACGGTCATGCCCAACCTAAGTAAAGACTGGGATAGCCTGAAATGCTGACACAGAGGCCATCCCCCGT